CCGGCCGGCGGGGTCGGGAGCCGCGGGGGGGCCGGGCCGGGCCGGGGACGCGAAGGCGACTTCGGGAACGCGAAGTAGCGCCTGAGTTTTTCCATATGCCGCTTCTGTGCTGCGCGGGGTTGTCAGGCGCTCCTGTGGGAAACGGGCTGTGGAAGGTCCCTGGGCGCGCGTCCCAAGGCCTGCTTACGGGATGTTTAATTCAGTTTTAACTTTTTCTGAGTATTCGTATCTCGCAGGAGATGAACTAAAAGAGTTCAAAGAAGAAAGTGCTTAAACGTGGTTAAGGATTATTTTGAATTTTGGGCGTAGAAAGAGAAAGGACAGGGCTGTTTGTACTTGGTAACCTTTTGGTGGAGTCCTGCCAGGTGTTTCCTTGGAGGAGCGTCAGAGATGCATCAGGTTTCCTTCTCTTTCGCAGTGAGCTGAAGAGACGTTTAAAGGCTGAGAGAAAAATAGCTGAAAAAGAGGCAAAGCAGAAAGAGCAAAGTGAAAAACACTCAAATAAGCCTTCCGTGACTTCTGACTGTGAGAATAACATTGGTGCTGATGAGGAAAGCTTGGATCCAAATGTGAGTGTCAGGCCTCGTGCTTGTTACTATTCTGAGAATAAATGTTACTGATTTACATCTGACTCTTTGTTCAAGGGGAACTAAATAGTTAAAAGGGGAGAGACCTACATATTCCTACATAAGGGCAGAAGTGTTTTAATTTACAACCTGTAAAATATTTTCAGTTTCTAACCAAATGGCTTGGTTTTCTTTGTTTCTGGTGACAGCAATACTACAAGATCCGTAGCCATGCAATCCAGCAGCTGAAGGGCACCAATGAAGATCCTTATCCCCACAAGTTCCATGTAGACATATCTCTCTCAGATTTTATAGAGAAGTACGGTCACCTGCAGCCAGGAGATCACCTGACAGACATTACAGTGAGAGTGGCAGGTAAAGGCCTGTCTGGGGTAGGGAAAGATGTTTTGTTGCTTTGCTAAGACAAGTCTTAGCTGCCTTTAGTGATGGGGTGGTCTCTTTTCGAATTTTTCTGATCCCCTGTTACTCAGTCATGAAGTCTGTAGCAGTGTTAGACTATTCAGGACATGTCCTTTCAGACTGAGTGGACCCCTACAACATTCCTTGTAACTACAAGATCAGATTGTGATATGGGCTCTGGGACCCGAAGTTCATATGGTCTTTTGTTAAGAGACTTAACTGCTTCTCTTTCACGTTTAGAGCTGAGGGTCCTTTGTCCAAGTGATAATACTGTGGCTTTTGCCCCTGTATCCTTTTTGCTATGGACTCTTTTCCTGATGTCTTGCATACTTCGATATTTAGGTCGAATCCATGCAAAGCGTGCCTCTGGAGGGAAGCTGATTTTCTATGATCTTCGTGGCGAAGGAGTCAAGTTGCAGGTCATGGCAAATTCCAGGTAAGTAGAGGTATTCCTAGTAGCATTCTAATCTGAACTGCATTGTGGGGCCTAGAGATCTGTATTTGGGCATTCTGTTCCTTCATCTCCTTAGGCTGTTTGTCTATGGGTTGGCTTAGGCAGCCAGGTAGTGTTTTGCTTAGGATGTTGTTGGCTTCCCTGCTACAAGAATCCTTTTTTTAAAGGATTTGGTTTGGGGGGAGGCTTGCTGTTCAGGACAGTTTGGAATATTGAATTTTAAACAAAAGTACTTATACTGGTTTTGTAATTACAGGCTCTACAAATCTGAGGAAGAGTATTTCCGTATTAACAACAAGCTGCGTCGTGGGGACATTATTGGTGTAGAGGGGAATCCTGGGAAAACAAAGAAAGGCGAACTGAGTATTATTCCTTACGAAATAACTCTTTTGTCTCCATGCCTGCACATGTTGCCTCATCTTCACTTTGGCCTCAAAGATAAGGTATTGTCATACCTGTCATTCTTTGAGCCATTTGACAGATAGGTCTGAATGGATGGTATCAGTCAACAAAGAAACATTAGTTTTGTTTTGGTAGTTTTTCCTTTGGCAGCACATTTGTCTAGCTTGTTCTAAAGATATTTGTTCTTTTTAGGAAACTAGGTATCGTCAGAGATACTTGGATTTAATTCTTAATGATTATGTGAGGCAGAAATTTATAACCCGTGCAAAGATCATCACATATATTCGGAGCTTTCTAGATGAGTTGGGCTTCCTTGAGGTAAGGCTTCAATGTTTATTTCTCTCTGCATACTGAATGTGTTTAGAGTGTCTCAGTATCAATGATGCTTTATATTCAGACTCATGTGCAAAATAGTTACAAAAGTGAGGATAACTACCTCAGCATGGTGTGTTTTACCAGTTTAATGTAATGGGAGCTATTCCTTTCCTCTTTTTAAAGTTAAGACAACTCTCAGTTGGTGATGTTATGACTCGGGAAACTTTTATCAAGGTAGTACAAACTGCTGCTGATCAATTTATTTACAAGTGTTTATCAACTCAATTGCAAAAGCTGCCAGTGGGAGATTTTTGAGAGCAGTGGGAATCCGAACCTGTGCTTTATCATCTCTGTCATATGTGCAATGGCTTTGATGTGGTCTTGGTTTTGTTTTTTTTTTTAAATAATTCTTAATCTAGTACTTAGTTCTGATAACTTAATCAAAAAGGACTGTAATAGTCCTTCTCAATTTATATGAAGTTTTGACGTGTTGTCTGAATAATGAAGGTTGAGAGAGAACGTTGGGAATAAAATAAAAGGCAGAGAAGTCAGGGAACAGCATACTACGCAGTAGAGTGCAATCTGGAGGTATGTGAATCGGGCAGTGCTCAGTCATACCGGTACTCTCTATGGCGTAGTGTAGTGTCATGCCGTGAACAGATACTAGTTAATTTTAAGAAAAATTAGCCAAACTGTCGTGGGTATCATGCTCTTCAGCTGATTGTCAGGACTTGTTGGTCCAGCTGTCACCAGTTAAACAGTTCTGCTTTGGAAACAGATCAGATGAAAGTAGGGCGTTCAGGTAGGAGCTTGGAAATATTTAGGCCCCTGTTAATTTTTTTTTTTTTTTTTTTTTTTGCTATTTTACAGATTGAAACTCCCATGATGAATATAATTCCAGGTGGAGCTGTGGCAAGACCTTTTATCACATACCACAATGAACTGGATATGAATTTATACATGAGAATTGCTCCAGAGCTTTACCATAAGGTAAAACACAAGCCCCTCATGGCTAAGCCTATATCCCTCCATACTGTTGCAATCTCATTCTAAAAAACCAAATGTAGCTAAAATGGGTATTGCTCTTGAAGAAAGATGGACTCATTGGATTGGAGGAAACAAAATTTATCTTGAATAGATTTGTAAGGTCGTGTTGCAGTTTTGTGTGTTTGAGCTCTTGTGTTCTTTTGAAAAAGTTGTGTGTCTACTAGAATTTCCTTTGGTTTAGATGTTGGTGGTTGGAGGCATGGACAGAGTATATGAAATTGGACGTCAGTTCCGGAATGAAGGAATTGATTTGACTCACAACCCTGAGTTCACAACTTGTGAATTCTACATGGCTTATGCAGATTACCATGACTTGATGGAAATTACAGAGAAGTTGCTTTCAGGTGACGTATGCAATATTAATTAAAAAAGAGTGAGAATCTCTGAAAGAATTGCATATTATATGGCATACTCTTTTTCTAAACTTCAGGTTCCTTTTGTAGGGATGGTGAAACATATCACAGGAAGTTACAAGATCACTTACCATCCAGATGGTCAAGATGGACAGGCCTATGAGATAGATTTTACCCCTCCCTTCCGGCGAATTAGCATGGTGCATGATCTGGAAAAGGTCCTAGGAGTGAAATTGCCATCAACTGAGTGCTTTGAAACTGAAGGTTAGATGCTGATTCTGAGTGTCCTGTAATATTTCCTTAACAGAAAGGGGGCAAAAGGTCTCAAGTTCTCAGCCAGCAGTCTGTCAGCTGCTTTTTTTAGGTGATACTAACACATGGATTGCTTTTCTCTGGTTTTGTCTGCTACCTAAGAGTCCAGAAAGAAGCCTTCATGCATTGCAGTCTTTAGCAGGATCTGACTCTTTGCCTCTTCCTTTGTTGAGTATATGTGATGCTGTATACTCAAGAGGCATGAGCTGGGGAGTTCTTGATCTTTTGAAGAGACCCAGCTTTTTATTTCTTCTTTCTTCTGTCTTTTTTGCAGTTGAGTCTCCATGCATGTGATCATAGGTTAGGAGAGTGGGCTTTTGGGCTTTCTTCAAAATGTGTGTTTGTGCTACTTTATTCCTGGAATCCAGAGCCACAAGGAAACAAGTTCATACACTTTTTAGTGATTTTTTTTTTTTTCTTTTTTCCCCTTTTTTTTTCCCCAAATAATAACGTCCAGCAGTTGCATGGGGTTATGCTTAACTGTTGTCAAGTTTCTGAACTATAAAATAACTTACATTTTAGTGTAAACCGATTAAAAACAAACACTGATTTTGCAGATTGACATTTAAGCTCGTGTTTTCCATGACGTGTATCGTTAAGATCTTATAAATCACTGTAAGACATGTTTGAAGGATGCAGAAAGAAAAAAAACATGGTTGCCTGGGTGGCTTTTCTAATTTTTGTCTATGACAATTTCAGAAACTCGCAAGTTCTTTGATGACCTTTGTGCAGAGAGAAATGTTGAGTGTCCACCTCCCAGGACAACAGCCAGGCTTCTTGACAGAGTAAGTAAAGGTGGTGTTTTTATAAGCCTAATGTCTTTGAGGATCTATCTGTATCAACAGAAAGCTCTTCAGAGTAAAAGTTTAGCTCCATCTGGGAAAACATGCTTAAATGCACTTCATCTATTTCTGTATTGCAGCGAGAAAACTTGCTGTGTCAAAATCTTTTTTTTTTTTTTTTTGTGTGTGTTGTCTACACCAAAATGTAGTTTACTGTTGCCTGCTTAGTGTGAGCACTAGAGGATTTTAGTTTGATAGCTCGTCTCTTCTGCTTAAAGCAGATCTGCTTTATCTTACGTCAGTTTTGTGTGCGAGATCTGTGCGTTTGTATGTACCTTACCAAAGTGGTAGGCTTACCATATAGTTCTATTGATTTTATTAAGTCTTTTCCGTTGTACCCAAAATATTGCCTGATAGCTGTTTTTCTGCTGCTTTTCCTATTGG